CCACAATCAAGTATGACCTTGTTAGCAGGCATCCACAAGAGGCAGGGAACGTGGTGGTTAAGAATGGGTATCAGAGCCAGTTGTGTGTCTTTGGACAATTTGCTTAACCTCTCGGTGCCTCAGTTTCCATATCTGTAAAATAGTGACAATGACACAACCTGTCTCACAGGGCTGTGGCGAGTCTTAAATGAATTTATATATGTAAGCATGTAGAAAAAACCTAGCCTTGCAATAAGTGTTAGCTGATTTTGTGAAAGTGGTTGAACACCTTGCTCATAGAAGGATGGTCTTAAGAATAGGAGCTGACCCCCATTTTCGTAACTTGACTGTCACTTAGCTGCATCTGATCACTTGTAAGTTCCTGCATTTTCACAGAGGAGGTGGGTTTATAATTGGGACAACCTTCAGGAAGAAGATCAAGATATTTTAGCTATGCCTCTTGTTCAAAGGACTGATTCAGTACAACTCAGGCCCTGCCATCACTGCCTAACAGCTTTGACTGCACATTTTTACTGTCTAGATCTTGCTGTAATTTTGTAGATGGAATTTTGTAAAGGGTTTTATATATTTTATCATGATCATTTAGTTTGCAGTATTTAAAAATAGATGTGTAAAAGATACACAGTACAGGCTATAAAACACCCTCAAATGGCATTAAAATGGGAACGAATCCATTCATTTGGGTTTCAGCTGAGTTTATCTTGTATTTCAACTTTTTTAATATCCAAAGAGCTGTAGAAATAGGTTATTGAGTAGGAAGTTGGCTAGGCCAGGGCTCTATACCATGTGGGCACTTGTGAATGCTGGCAAAGCCTTCGGAATTTGATCCTGATTGAAATGTAGTCATTTTCCACCTGCAAAAACAGTTTTCTCCATCAAACCTGGGGGTGGGGAGAGGGTTTATTCACTCCCACCCTCCCCAGTGTCGATCTTTCACTTTCCATTAGGCTCAAAGCCCTCATATTGATGCTTATGTGATAGAAACTTTGGAAAATATTCAGTATGTTTGTTTGTGTTTCTAAACTTAAAATGTTTGCCCTGGTATTTCCCATTAGTCTGATGAAATGAGTCATGTGAAATTGAACTCAACCTCTCTGGGGTCTTGCAGAACCCCCAGGACCTAGTAGGTCTTAACAAACTCTGTGAAATGTGTAGATGAATATATTTTGGCTCCTGCATGAAGAGGATGGACTTCAAAGTGGCAGGTCATCGATATTTGGTAGAGAACTCAAGAATGTCAGGCATGAGCCAGAACCTAAAGTGGCAGACAGAAGACATGGACATGGGCCAGCTGTGGCATCAAACCTGTGACTTCTCAGCTGCAGAACAAGGCACAGGTCTTATAACTTCTCTGAGCCTCAGCTTTCTCATCTGTACAGTGGGAACAATGATTCTATGTATACCTCTGAGTGTTTTCATAAGAGTTAGAAGTGCTGACTCATTGGAAAAGACCCTGATGCTGGGAAAGATTGAGGGCAGGAGGAGAAGGGGACGACAGAGAATGAGATGGTTATATGGCATCACGGGCTCAATGGACATGGATTTGGGTGGACTCCGGGAGTTGGTGATGGACAGGGAGGCCTGGCGTGTTGTGGTTCATTGGGTCGCAAAGGATCGGACACGACTGGGCGACTGAACTGAACTGAACTGAGCAGATGCACACGGAATGTGTAGGATTAAATTGGATGGTCAGTGTACATTGTGTGTTAATTGTTGGCAATAGGATGATGATAGTGATGATTTTGATGATGATGATGATGATGATGATGATGTATTTTTGTATTTTTATCTCATTTAAAAAATTCTAAAAATTCATAAAGCTACTCTATATTTTCTTCCAAATGTTTTAATATTTTGCTTTTCATCTTTAACTGTTTAGTGCCTCTGGAGTTTATTTTTATCTATGAGGTGAGGTAGGGATTTAATTTTTGTTACTTTGTAAAGGAGTTCATGTATTGCCACATTTTCAAGAAGTTCTTTAGTTCTTTTTTGTTGGTCAGAGTGAGGTTCAGAGTTTTAGAACTCTTTTAGTCCCCTGGGAGATGAACTTGGCAGCAAGGTTATTTAGGATTTTATTTTGTTGGTTTTAAGCTAAGGGGATCTTTTCACAGATATGTCACTATTCAAATCTACCACTAGATTATTCATCCACCCACCCATCTATCCACCCATCCATCCCAAACTGCTTGTGAGTTAGCATGTTCCTTTGGTCTGAATATTCATATCCTTGTCTGATTTTGGAAAAACTTTAGGTTGTTATTTCATCTAAAATTGCTTCTCTCTCATTCTCTGTTTTCTTCTTAAGAAATATTATTAAATATTTGTTGGAGCTTTTCATTCTGTCTTCCATGTCTCTTAACTCCTCTTCATGTTTTCTATCACTTAATTTCTGTATGTTGCATTCTATGTGATCATTTAGCTCTATCTTCTAATCGGTTTTCTTTTTCACTGGGTCTAATCAACTACGCAAATAGAACAAGGACAATCACATGTGGAACAGTGATATGATGTGTAAGTGGAAAACTTCAGTGCAAACAGAGGCTTGGAGCAAGACATTGCTAGGAAGAAGAAGGATGTCATGCCCACTTCCCACAATCCTGGAGTGATGGGTTGGACGATGGGTCCCTGCCCGACACGTGATGGGAGCGGAGCCAGTGTCATTTGAGCTGGCGTCTTGTCACCCTGGTATTCTCCAGAATTGTATGATGTTTGGCTTAATGTTAATAAGCTCATGTTTATTTTTCATTTATAGCTGTTTGGAATTTTCATGGGAAATTAAAAAAAAAATAGTAGCTTAGAACATTTCTGTGTTTGAGTAGTAGGTTGTCCTTAGAGAGCATGTTGGCAAAATCACCTGACTTGGATTTCAAACTGGAATATCAGCTTCAGAGGTGTTTGGGGACCAAGGATTCCTATTCAATACCCATAAAACATGTGCCTCAGAATGAAGGTATAGGACTTCCTCTGGGCTATGCTGTGTGACTTGTGTGAGCAACTCTACTTCTCTGAGCCTCACTTTCCTCATCTGTAGAATGGGGAGACTAATTGAACTTTTCCTGCCTTCTAGGAGTGTACCAAGGGTCACATGATGTAATAGATATGAATGTGATTTGCAAACTGTAAATTGTTTTAGACGCTTGTGAATGTCCAAGCGGGGAACTTCTCTCCATCCAACGCTTATGTTTGGTGCTGGCTTTTACTCCTCAATGGTCAAGGGAAGGAAGCTTTGAGTGCCGATGCCATTTGGAACTCCTTTACAAGGTCTATACCTTGTCTAAGTTACAGGTTGGCTCTTAATTATGCAACAGCAATGATGAGCCCTATTTCTTTCTGGGCCCATCACTCATTGCATAGACAGGTCTATGTGATCATGTGCAAATCTCAAGGTAACATCATGTTAAGGGTGTATGAGGGTGCCTTACAAGTTACAGACTCTAATTCTCATTTCCACAATGAGTAGAAGTAATGATAACAGCTTCCATTTGCTGAGTGCTGTTGATGTACAAGTCACTTTAAGCATGTTAACAACGAAGTAGGTGCTATTATCCTTATTTTACAGATGAGGGTCTTGTGGCTTGGTGTCGATAAGAAGGGACTTTCTCTAGGTTGTAAGGTTTGGAAGTAGCAGAACTATGAGTGGGATCCATGCTCTCAGACCCCAAAGTCCATGTTTCTTTTAGGACATGATGCTGGTTTAGATATGGCTTTTGTTTTTAGCCAGCCAACCAATCACCTAAGCAACCAATTAGTGAACAACCACCACCCAACCAATAACAACCACTAGTAAATAGTCCATCAACTTACCACCCATCCACCCATACAACCAATGAACCAATTAAAAAAAATTATTTATTTTTAAAAAATTGTTTTAAAAAAGATAATCTTATTTATTTGACTGTGCTGGGTCTTGTTTTTGGCACACGGGATCTTTAGTCATGGCATGTGGGATCTAGTTCCCTGACCAGGGATTGAACTCTGGCTCCCTGCATTGTGAGTTGGAGTCTTAGCCATTGGACCACCAGGGATGTCCTCCAACTAACCAATTATTAGCAACCATTCACCTAACCAATAATGACCAACGAGTCAACCAGTCACCAGCCAACCAGCAGTGTGTGTTGCTTGCTATCAGTCATCCGGTCATCAGTGAGCTTGGGGGTGGAGAGAACGTACTGTCCCATCCTTAGGGAACTGCCCATCTGTGGGACAGCGAGGACCACTGTCCAGCTCAGTATCTGACCCCTCAGCTGGCCTGGAACTCCTGTAGGGTGAGGTGATGCCTTGGTTGTACTGTATCCCTGGAACCCAGAACAGGAGCAGCATGTCATTGGCTGGGATGGAGGTGGTGATGGGGCTCAGTAAATATCACACACACGCGCATACACATATGCACATACACACACCATGGAACGACTCAGCGCACTGTGGAATGAATGAAGGCACCTCTGTCAGAAGTGGCTCCAGTGGTCAGATCCATCACAGAAGGCTGTGTAAAGGAAAGGTCAGATGCTCCTCTGGTCTGGAGAGTCACCTCCTGGGTATAGCAGAGCAAACACTCCCATGGAAGCTGCCTCCTGCTGAGCACTCACTGGGCTCTATTCTGGATGGGGAGCATGACGTGGTGGGAAGAGCCCTGGATTGGGGTCAGGGGTCTGAGCCCAGCTGAGCTGCTAACACCTTGGGTGGCCTTGGATCGCTGGTCTCAGCCCCCCTCCATCTCTGCTCCCTTATTTTATGGACGAGGCCACCAAGGCCCCAAGACCTGAGTTCGCCCCTCTCCAAGGCCCCTTCTAGCTCTGGCATTTCCAGTCTTTTCTGGCTCCTCATTAACAGAATATTTTCATTTTCCAATCCACATTCCAGTTTCCTCCCGCGAGCCTCGACCCTTCTAGCAGAGGAGCGGGCACCGTGTGAAATTCTCTGAATCGCACACGGGGGACCCTCGCCCCATCTCCAGTAGAAGGGGCCAGAGGCTAATTGGCAGGCCTGGCCGCATCCTGTAGGAGCCCTGTAGACGTGAGCACAGGCCAGGGAGCCGGGCGCTGCCGGGAAACGCATGCTCCTTCTCTCCATATCTGTTACAGGCCCCGCGGTTCACTGTCTGCTCGGAAATTGGGTAAGTGTTTTCTTACCCAAACTTGAGTAACCGCCGTTGAAATCTATGGTTGGAAAGTCTTGGCTCTCAGAACAGACCACACAGTGACTCGCCCAGTGAAACTCAATGCCCTGGGCTTACTTGGTTTTACCTACGACACCGCTACAGGAAGAAATGGGTTTGGAGGGGATGAATGTCTTTCCATCCATTTCTGAAAGGTTTTATTAGTTGGAGGAAGGCAGAGGGTGTTGGTGCAGCTCTGCTTCTTAGCCTGGGTCTGGCCTTGGGCACAGGGGCAGGAAGAAGGCCTGAGAGGCAGGGAAGGAACATCCCTGGGGCCTCTTGGCCTTGGAGGCTAGGCTGCCTGATGCATGTGTCCAGTGAGAACTGGGGGCAGCGAGGGTTCCAGTGGGCCCACCGTGTCTTATGCCATATTCTGGCAGGCTGCTCGGCACCCAGCGCGGGCCCCATTTTTAATCAGCCTCTTTCACCCGCACAAGCCAAGAAAAAGCTGTAAAGTCAGAAGAACGCTGGCATCTGTTCCCTGCCTCAGAACAGAGCAGACATTGTCCTGGCCTTCCAGTCCTCTGCGGCCCTCATTCTTGTCGACCACACAACTGGTTCCAATCAGTTTCCAGAGGCTCTCTGTGGTGTTTTAGGATGTTTGCTTGTGCGTTCTTGGGTCAGTGACCCTCCAACCTGAAAAGTCACCTTCCCACCCACCCTCCCCGCTGACACAGAAGAGAAGATCAGGTGTGAATTGGGCCTGTGTGTGTGTGTGTGTGTGTGTGTGTGTGCGCGCGCGCCTGCGCACCACCCTGCTCAAGGAGACGCCCAGGAGAGGCTGTGGAACTGCTGGACTGTTTGAGGAATGTGCCTGTGGACACTTCTCTCCTTGGAATGTGGGGAGCACAGTTCAGGGCCTGTGAGACCCCCTCAGGTGACCCTTATTTGTTAAAGGGACCACGCCCACCTTTCCACCTTGTTCCCAGGGCCTTGGGCCATTCCTGTCTGAACCCTTTTGGGGGCTAACAATGGCTGTGTCATTCACCCTCTGCTGAGGACACAGGGCCTCACCGTTGTCAGAGAATCGGAACATTTTCCTCCTTCATCAGAGAGTGTTGAAGCTAGAAGTTTTTTTTTTTGCCAGGCTTCCAGGGAGCAGATTAGCAAGGTCGAAGGGATGAGCATCTCCTCACTGCCAAATGAAGTTGGATTTGTTGTTAGAGCAGCAACTTGGACTTGGAAAATAAGTCCTGCAACAAGGGACTGGCCTCCCTGCCCCCATGCGGTAGAAAGCGCCATCTGTGCCAGAACCTAGTCCCTCTCAGTGCCCCATTTCCAGATATGAGACTTCAAGTCTGATCTGTTTCTCCTGAGCAGCGGAAATGAATCTGGAGGGCCGCTCATGTGGGACAGGCATACCGCAACTTGCTGAAGGCAGACTGGTTGCCAGGCACCGTGTTAAAGACCCCGTGTTAATGTCTTTTTCTTGTCTTTAAGGCACTTCCTTTTCTGTTGGGGAAAGGAACTGTAAACTCTGATTTCCCACGGTGTGTTCAGCCAGGAGGGTAACTGGAGGGTCACACAGGTTCTGGTTTCCTCCCCCTTCCTCCCCCTCCCATCTCCATCATCAGTCCCACTGCTCTGACTCAGATAACTGAGGCTCTCAGATGTATTTGGAGATGTCAGGCAAATGTGCCCATGACGCCCAGCGTTGAGACTGTGTGAGGGGAGAAAGGCCTGAGTTCTTCACTGCATCTGTCACAGGTGGGCCTCTGGAACTAGATACTGAGACAGGTTGCATGCAGGACTTTTGGGTGATGAATACTTTTGAAAGGAAGGCAGAGGAAATGGGACGGGTAGAGGAAGAAGGTGAACTTCAATGTGGCCTGGTAGAGCCTGGGCCAGTCTGAGGGGGTGCTTGGGGTGAGGACTATGGTCAGAGTGTCCGTCAGTCAGGCTAAATGCCCAGTCCTTATACCCAAGCCCCCGAGAAGGCTGGCTTGCCTGGGCCCTCTCTGCAGCTGGGACAGACTCCCCACTGCTGGGGACAGGAGCACAGTTTTATTCTAGATCAGAATTTCCTAGCTCTGCTCTAGGACCCTGGAAGTTGTGAAGGTGAGAAAGAAGGGCTGTGAGTGGTTTCAAAATTCAAAACATGTGTCTTTATAACTGAAATGAAGCCATAACTAAAAGATGTCTTTGCCTTGGTCAGACTTGATGAATTGATGCCAGCAGTGTTGGGGTGCACAACTGTAGATGTGTTCAGGGTGGGGCTGGGGGCCAGTCACTCACCACTTAACCACTCTCCCTTGACCAGACTCTAGTCAGGCTCCTCTGAGCACTTTTTCCGTGAGGCCTCATCCTTCAGCATGTCCTCAGGAGCCCAATTTTAGCACAAAGTCTGCTTAGTCAGTTTAGCCAGAATCCCCCACCTTTGATATCTGACCACTCTCAACATACAACACAGCTCCTCCTTCCCACTCTCCCCTGGTGGTGTCTGACCACCTGGCATGCCTTCAGCATGAATCCTGTTGGTCAGTTTAGCCATATTAACCCTCATTCCTGGTGTTTCCTACTATTAATTTTTCATCCACTGATACTAGCTATTAAGTTCTCATTTTTCCTTGTTGAATTGAGTTGAACCCAATCTCTCTTTCTTCCTGCAGTGTCTCACTGGGCCCTACACCTATTGCAGTAGTCTTGAATAAAGGCAACCTCACCCCTTTAACAGGGTGGCTCAGTGGAAAAGAATCTGCCTGCTAATCAGGAGATGTGGGTTTGCTCCTTGGGTCAGAAAGATCCCCTGGAGAAGGAAATGGCAACCCACTCCAGTATTCTTGCCTGGGAAATCCCATGGACAGAGGAGCCTGGTGGGCTACAGTCCAAGAGGTCACAAAGAGTCAGACTGACTTAGTGACTAAACAGCAACAACACCACTTTAACAAGGGTCCTGGGTAATTTTTTTTTTTTTTTTAGTATCATCATCACTGCCATCATCCTCACCATAATGGGAAGATGAATTAGACACCTTCTGTGTACAGAGGTAGAACTATGCCAAGGAGGGCTGAAGTCACAGCTCACTTTGACAAAGAGTTGTCTGACAGTTAGCAGTGTCAATGGCCATTCATTCCGATTCCCTGAAATGCCTCAAGTAGCTGGGCAGATGATAGAGATGATTGGTGTTTGGGGATGTAAGGAAATATGGCATGGTGAGCTATGATGAACTGCCTGAAGATAATAAAATCTAAAGTTTTACCAACAGAAAGTGATGACCAGCAAAACCCACGTGAGGGGTGAGTACATCCCAAGGGTCTCTCGTTCTCATTTGCACCCTCTGGCACAGAGGGTTGTTTCCTTTAGATTCAGTGAGTTTCCCAATTCTGGACAAGGAAACACAGATGGCCATTTGTTAGGGATCAGGGGAGGCCGTGGGCTGCAGTGGAAAGGTGGTGGCTTTGGAGTCAGAGGTTTGGGTGTGAGTCCCAGGGTGCAGCACTGGCTACGTCAGTCAGTCAGTGTCTCTGAGAAAGAGCGGCCGAGTTAGTCCATGCCTCACCTCTCTCAGCCACCCCAGAGGAGGAGACGAGCCGTGGAGGGTGCTCAGCTCCATGCCCAGCACTCAGGAGGTGCTCTGGGGAGGTTTACTGTGACACTGACTGGTTTAGGGGATTAATGACTGAGACAGATGGAGGTCTCCTCATACAACAGCACACACAGGCACTTGCACAGACCACACTCACATTCACTCTCTCTCGCACACATACCACTTTCAATCCCGCAGCTCCTGTCACCTGCCCAATCCCAGAAACACCCCCAGACCATCTTTGCATGCATTCCTGGGAGATCATTTCCTTCCTCCTCCAGAAGACGCCTCATGATATCAGTTAAGAAGAATGAACTCAACCCAGAGGCTCTCGGGGGGCTAAACTTTGACCCAGGGTCTGCTGGCTCTGGGCTTTCTGAGTAAGCAGGCCCACCCCAGCATACCTTGCCTCAGGCCACCCAGTCTTTCCCTCCCCTGCAGGAAGCCTGTGTGTGGGCTCCCTCCCTTCGCTGCCCAAATGGGGAGGCTCCTCCCCAACACTTTAACCCTTTCTTGTAATGGAAGAAGCAGAGAAGCAGTGTCTTCTCTGGTCCACAGCTGTGGCCAACCCCAGCCTCCCTCCTGGGGGTGGGTAAGAGGCCAAGTTCTCTAGATCTGCAGGAAACGGGCTGCTGTGCGCACAGTAAGCTTGAGTGGTGCATACAAGCCATCAGTAGATGCCAGCTGAATAGATCCTTCCCCTAAGGGGCAGGCTGTCCACCTCTGGACCTCCCAACATCCTGGACATGAAGTGGCCATCTACTGATTTCTTCCACTCCACACCCATCTCCCCTTCGTTCCCCTTGAGGAATCACCTTCCCTCTACCCCCTGCTCACTTGACTGTGCGAACATAGGACCTGGGCTCAGCGGTGAGAACACTCCACTCTTTCTGACCTCAGTGACTGATTGGAAGATGCCCTCTGACCTGGTGGGCAGAGCCCTCCAGGAGTCTTCTTCTGGAACACCACAAGAGACATTCCCTTTGCCCTGGGATTGCCAAGCTGTGAGGGTTTGGATGTCATGCTGCCTGAAGCTCCTTGCCATCCCCGTGGGAGAACCTACCCCAAATGAAACCCTGGAGCAAGGAAAACAGCAGAGGGAAGTAGGGAGAGCAGGACTGGAGACACTGTGTGGGCCTTCTAGTCCATATTAACAACAGCACAGACTGTCTAGTTGGGAAAAGCAAATAATTCCCTGATTGGAATGAATGAGCTGGAAATGGGCCTTATTTAACTGTAAGAATCATGATTAATACAGGTCACAGTTTGAGGGGTACATACAAATCTACTTAAAATTGCTTAGAAGCAGATTTAAAACCAGAAGTTTATAATGATAGCAATAACAGTCACAGTAGTTAGCATTCACTGAGGGCTTTACTATATGCCAGAAATTAAACAAAGGGTTTTAAATAGTTTTCCTGAATCAGTCCTTAGACCTATCCTGTTCTCTGCACACTATTCCCATCTCTATCACCACCATCACCATCACCATCATCCTCATAATCAGCATCTTCATCACTATCCCCACCCACCTCATCACCACCATCAGTTGCATGATTCAGATTTGGCATACACCCAGAAGCATGCATTCTCTTTCAGCCCTCTGCTCCTTTGCTCTGACAGCCTTCTTAGCCTGGTGACCTCGCTTCATGTGGGACGTGGTAGAGGGAGTGTGTCTGGTCTGGGGCTTTAGGGTTGGGCTGCTTGAGTTCACATATTAGGTGTTAGCTGTGTCCCCTGGGTAGGTGGTTTAGCCCTCCCCAGGTCTTGGTGTTCCTTGTCTATATGATGGGAATGATAACAGGATTCTGCTCCGAGTGTAGACACTGACTTTCACATTTCGAAGTCAAGTGTGCACAGCTGTGTCTTTTCTTATTTTTCTATAATCAAACTTACCTCTTAAGATCCCATGTCCACCAAGTCTGGAAGATCCAACCTGCTGGTTCCAAGGAACCTGGTCATGCTGAGTTTAAGACTGTCACGGAGAGTCAGTTTCCCCTCACCCCTTTCTTCCCTTTCCCAGCGAGATCTACGTTCCTGCCAGGGCTTATGTGTCCTTCTAGCATTGAGCGGTGGGCACCTGGTTGTGTGCCATTCTCTGTCCTTGTTGGCTTTTCCTAAATGTAACTGCTGAGGGATTTTGAAAATTAGATGACAGTCATGTAACACAAAATTAACCATCCTAAAGTGTTACTTTCAGTGGAATTTTGCCCATTCACTGTTGTGCAGTCATCACCTCTCTCTAGTTCTGAAATGTTTTTGTCACCCCAGCAGACCCAGGACCTTTAAGCAGTCACTCCCTGTTTGCCCAAGCTCTGACAACCACTACTCTGCTTTCTGTGTCTGTGGATTTGTCTCTTCTGAACAATTCAAGAAATGGAATCACACTGCTATTTGTGATGGGCTTCTGTCAGTATATTTTCGAGTCTCATCCACATAGTAGCATGTGTCAGTACTTCATTCATTTTTATGACTTATTATTCTGTTGTGTGGATGAATTTTATGTATCCATTCTGGTAATGGACATTTGAGCTGTAGCTGCCTTCTAGCTGTTGTGAATAATGCTGCCATGAACATTTGTGTACAACTTTTTGTTTCAGTTCTTTTTGGGTATATATCTAGGACTGAATCACTGATTATGTGGTACTTCTATGTTTAACTTTCTGAAGGACTGCCAAGTGTTTTCCACAGTAACTGATTCATTTTATATTCCCACCAGTAATGCATAAGGCTTCCGATTTCTCCACATCTGCTGAGATCCTTTTCCATGTTCTGTTTGTAACCATTTAAAATCCACGTATCTGTGCTCAGTTGATTTCCTTAAACCTTGTTGAGTTCATGGTCTCCTCGGGCTGGAGTACAGGCTAAGTACAGTTGTATAGGTTGTGCACTGCCCAATCCCAGGCACCACTCACAGAGTAGTCATTGTAGATTTGTATATTTATTGTGTCAATTTTGCAGAAAATGGGAGCAGAGTATCTTGGGGAAGGGGTATCTTTTTCACATTTGTACAAGGTGCCATCTGGGGCTAGCTGTGGTGCTGTGTAGCTGAACCCTCTAGATCTCTAGCCCCACTGCCCTATTCCCCACTCCTGCAGCTGCTGGCCTGAAGACTGCATCTTTAGCCACAACTCCATCTTGCTGTTCCAATACCCCCTTGCCAATGACTGTCATAGCACATCCCCATTCCACCCCATATTTCCCCTAGCATGTGGTTTACTGTTGTTGTTCAGTTGCTGAATTGTGTCTGACTCTTTGTGACCGCATGAACTGCAGCATGCCAGGCTTCACTATCCTTCACTGTCCTTCACTATCTCCCAGAGTTTGCTGAAACTCACGTCTAACCATCTCATCCTCTGTCGTCCCCTTCTCCTCTTGCCTTCAATCTTTCCCAGCATCAGGGTCTTTTCCAATGAGTCAGCTCTGCATCAGGTGGCCAAAGTATTGAAGCTTCAGCTTTAGCATCAGTCCTTCCAATGGATATTCAGGGTTGATTTCCTTTAGGATTAACTGGTTTGATCTCCTTGCAGTCCAGGGGACTCTCAAGAGTCTTCTCCATCACCACAGTTTGAAAGCATCAGTTCTTCAACACTCAGCCTTCTTTATTGCCCAACTCTTACATCTGTACGTGACTACTGAGAAAACCATAGCTTTGACTATGTGGAGTTTTGTCGGCAAAGTAATCTCTCTGCTTTTAAATACACTGTTTAGGTTTGTCATAGGTTTTCTCGCAAGGAGCAAGCATCTTTTAATTTCATGGCTGCAGCCACGGTCTGCAGTGATTTTGAAATCCAAGAAAGTAAAATCTGTCATTGTTTTCACCTTTCCCCCATCTATTTGCCATGAAGTGGTGGGATTAGATGTCATGATCTTAGTTTTTTGAATGTTGAGTTTTAAGCCAGCTTGGTTCATAGCTCTGATTAAAAGTTCAGGACAGGATTTCATCCCCATGGATTTGCTTAAAGGAGAAATGCTCTTAAAACCTCTTTAGCTTCTCTCTGATTCTCCTCAGTCAGCAAGGGGAGACCACACATCCCTGGGGGACTGGCATATTGTCCAACATGATCTGATTTGACTGTCTCAGCAAGCTTGCAAGCAGGAAAGGACTTCTGTACCCACTTTGCAGTCTAGAAAGTGAAATGACTAGCTCAAAGCCTCTCAGCAAAGAATGCTGATCACAAGTATTGTTTGTTGAGTGCCTGCTGATAGCTAATACTATTGTAAGGATTGGTCTTCCTGTAGCTATTTACCAGTAACTGTTTCACTGATGAGGAAATTTGAGGCCCTGAGGGTGGGTGGTGCCCCTGTCAGTGGTGGCGGTGGTGCTGGGGGGGTGCAGACTCTGCTCTCCTAACTTGAATGTCAGTTGATGGACCACTCTTGGGAGGATGGGGTGTTGAGACACCATGGAGAAGTTCAGTTTTATTTCAGGTGCTAAGCTTAGCATCCAAATGTAACTTGAGCTCCAGCGAGGAGCCCTGGGCTGGGTTCCTATTTTGAAAGAACTTTGAAAGTTGATTTCTAAATGTTTGGTGAACATAACTGACAAGGAGGGGAAGATGCATTTGGTCTGGCTAATAAGCTGGGATTCTTACTGGCTCTGAATTCTGTGGCAGTATTATATATTTTTATTTCCTAGCAAAATTGTACTCTTGCAAGCTGGCAAAGTGCAGCATCCCAAATCTTATGATTTGAGGCTTTTTACACAAAACTCCAGCTCTTGGTTTCCTATGGAGCACACGAGTGGGTGTATTGAGGTCTACTTAGTGAGACCCACCAACTCTTGAGGTGCAGACTGCTTACTCACACAGGCTTCCCTGACCCCAAAACAACCCTGGGAGTTGGGGAAGCATCACTCATCCAACCAAAACACAGTGTGCATGTCCTGTGTATCGGGTCCTGATGTATAGAGTGGAGCTGAGGTGGCCAGGATCCTGCCTTCGTGGTGCTTCATCCTCATCTGGAAGAGACAATGGTCTAGAGAGGACAGAGAATCCCAGTGGTGGCACCTGCCTGGTGAAATTCAACAGGACGCTGTGATACAAAGTGACTGGGGTGGGAGTTTACTTTGGATGGTGCCTCTGAGGAGGTGGCATTTGCAAGGCTTCTGGGACAGGAAGGAAACAGCTGTGAGAGCCTGGGAAGAGCATGCCCTGGAAGAGGGAATAGAATGTATGGCAAGGGAAAGAGCTTGTCCTGTTATCCCCATTTTACAGATGAGGACACCAAGGTTTAGAGGGGTGGTGTGGTGAGATCCAGGCTTGGACTTAGGTTTTCTGTTTCCAATTTGGGCATTCTTTGCGACCGCAGGCTACCTTGCTGGTGGTCTGGACTACGGTTCTGTGGTCCAGATGCAGCCACTGAAGGCCTGAGTCTCATGGGGGTTACACACCTCTCCTCAGAGGGCATTGGAGAAGGGAGGAGACATGTGGTTAGAACTGGCATTCTTTCTTAAAGACTAGGGACAAAAACTACTGAGGGTGTTTGCACATGAACAGTTTTCATCTAATTGCATGAACTGTGTTGTCCCCTGGGCCCTGGGGACACTCTTCAAATCAGGATAAAGGGAGCAGTTGCTTCCAACTCAACCTCCTTTTCTTTTTCTGGACACTCAAGCAGAGGAATCACCCAGTGGTTGTTTGGACATACACAGGGATGGAAATTTTGGCTCTGACAGTGATGGGGAGGGGCCAGGAATGCAGATGTTTTGCAGTGCGTGTGGTCAGTCTGCACGTGGAGAACCATCCTACACCGTGGCGGGCTCAGGAGAAGCAGTGCATGGGGACTTACCCCGGGGTCTGTCTTTGAAGCATGTTTGCTGCAGGCTTGGAGGCTTGGAACCGCCTTGGGGTTAACAGTGTCCTGGCTGAGAACTTACCATTGTGGGAGGGAGGGCAGCCCTGAGACCTCTGGTCAGGCTCAAATTTCCCATTTCTGGTAGAACTTCCCCCTCGCTGGCTTTGCTTAAGTTTCTCCTCCATGCTGTTAAGAGTCCTCGGGCTGTTTAATTATTACCTCATTCTAGGTTCAGGACTAAATGGGCTGAGTGGGAGAATCATGGTTATGCGAGTTTCAGAAAATGTGAATTTTCTCCATTTCACATGGGGGAAGTTCTGTCCCTCTTCCCTGGATACTGGCCAGTGCAGAGCCAGGATCCTACTGCTCTGATTGGAGTCATGTGGTTTGGGAGATATTTTTCTTCATTAGCACAGAGCTCAAATACTCATCACTCCTTTGTACCTTTTTAAAGTTAACACACATTAAAACTGACTTTCTCTTCTTTGTATGGTCCTATGAGTATTAACACACATGTAGATTTGTGTCATCATCATCTCCATTGAGATACAGGGCAGCTGCACCACTCCAAAAATCTCCCTCGTGTACACCTGCACGGTCTCGCCCTCCCCTCATCACCAGACCCTGGAGACTCCTGGTTAGAGCCCAGCACAATAATGCTGTCTGCTCCAGAGAGTCATGTCAATGCAATCAGAGACCAGAACCTTGGAGCCTGGCTTCTTTCACTCAGCACAATGCCTTTGAGATCCAGCCAAGCTGTTGCATGTGTCAGCAGCTTCTCTTTTTTCTTTCTGAGTAGTATTCCTTTATTGGATGGACCAAGATTTGTTTATCATTTGCCAGTTGAAGAACTTTTGAATTGTTTCCAGATTTTGGTGATTATGAATGAAGCTGCCATCAACATTTGTGTGCAGGTTTTTGTATAAACATGTCTTTATTTCTGTTGGGTAAATACCAGGAATGAGATGGTGGGATCATGTGGTAGTTGTGTGTTTAAGTTTTTAATTAACTGCCGAACTGTTTTCCAGAGTGCATGCATCACTGTACAGCCCCACCAGCAGTGGATGAGAGTTCCCATTTTCCTGTGACTTCACCAGCACTTGGTGTTGTGAGTATTTTTAACTATTTTAGTGAATGTGTAGTGGTATCTCATCTTGATTTGATTTGCATTCTACTAATGGATAATTGTATTAAACTTCTTGTCATGTGTTTATTTGTCATACACATACCCTCTTTGGCTAAGTACCAGTTAAAGCTTTTCATTCATTTTTTAATTGGGTTGTTTGTTTTCTGTCTGTTGAGTTAAAAAAAATCTGAGTATAATTGACAACAAGAAACTGCTTGCATTTAAATCATAGAAGCTGATGTTTTGACATAATGTATCCAACTATGAAACCTTTACCAAACTCTAAATAATGAAAATGTCATTGATACTTCCTCTCCCCTAAAGTTTCCTAGTATCCTTTGTGATTCCTTTGCCCTCCCCTTACCTATTCTCAGGCAGCTCCTGATCTGCTTTCTGTCACATGGCAGTATGAATTTCCTAGAGTTGTATTAATGTATTTGTTTTTGACTGGCTTACTTCACTCAGCATGATTATCTCAAGATTGGTGTTTGTTGTAGCATGCATCAGTAATTCTTTTTTATCATTGAGTAGTATTCCAATGTAGCCAGTGAGTAGCATCACTGACTCAATGGACATGCGTTTGAGCAAACTCTGGGAGATGGTAAAGGACAGGGTGCTAGGTGTGCTGCAGTCCATGGGTTTTCAAAGAGTTGGATACAACTTAGTGACTGAATAACAACAATATTCCAATGTATGATTATACTACAGTTTTTCCATTCACCTACTGATGAATATGTGTTGTTTCCAGCTGGAGGCTATTACCAATGAAGTTGCTTAACATTTATGTATATGTCTTTGCATGAACACGTGTCTTCCTCACTCTCAGGTAAATACCTGGGAGTCTGGTTGGGTCATATAGTAGGTGAATGTTTATATTTTTGAGAAAGTGCCAGACTGTTCAACAAAGTAGTTGCATTATTTTACATTCCTACCAGCAGTGTAGGAGTGTTCCAGTTTCTCCATGTTCTTACTAATACTTGGTCTGGTTAGACTTTTAATTTTAGATATGCTGTGAATAGGGAGAGTTTTATTTCTTTCTTTCCAATTTGCATGTCTCTTTAAAAGTTGAAGTATAGTTGACTTACATTGTGTTAGTTTCAGGTGTGCAGCAAAGTGATTATTTATATGTATATATATATAGGTTATTACAAAATATTGAGTATAGTTGCCTGTGCTAAACAGTAGGTCTTTTTTGGTTATCTGTTTTGTATATAGTAGTGTGTTAATCCTAAATTCCTAGTTTATTCCCTCCTTTCCCCTTTGGTAGCCATAAGTTTGTTTTCTATGTCTGTGGGTCTGTTTCTGTTTTGTAAATAAGTTCATTCTATCATTTTTTTTTTAGATTCCACAATAAGCAATATCATATAATATTTGTCTTTCTCTATCTGGCTTACTTCACTTAGAATGATAATCTCTAGGTCCATCCATTGCTGCAAATGGCACTACTTCATTTGTTTTTATGGCTGAGTAATATTCCATTATATATATAATATATACATTATACACAGACATACATACACATTTTCTTAATCCATTCATCTGTCAGTGAACATTTAGACTGTTTCCACATCTTGGCTATTGTAAATAGTGCTGCAGTGAACATTGTGGGTGCATGTATCTTTTCAAATTATAGTTTTCTCTGGATATATGCCCAGGAGTGGGATTGTTGGATCATATAGTAACTCTGTTTTTAGTTTTTTTAAGGAAACTCCATACTGTTCTCATAGTGACTGCCCCAAGTTACATTCCCACCAGCAGTGCAGAAGGGTTCCTTTTTCTCTACCCAATTTGTATGTCTTTTGTTTCTTTGTCTTTACTCACTCCAGGATGATGTTTAGCATGAGTGGTGAGAGTAGATATTCTTGCCTAAATCCCAATCTTAGGAGAACAGTGTTTAATCTTTCATCATCATAAGTATAATGTTGACTGTGGGGATTTTTTTCTTCTTTTCTGGTAGATTGTCTTTATTAGATTGAGGAAGTTCGGGGCTTCCCTCCTGGCTCAGTGGTAAAGAATCTGCCTGCTAATGTAGATTGAGGAAGTTCTCTTGTATTTCTAGTTTTTAAAAATCGTAGGTAGATATTGGATTTTGTCAAATGATTTGTATTTACCAATTCACACATCATATGGGTTTTCTTCAGACTGTTACTATGGTAGACCATATTAATGAATTTTTGAATAGCGAACCAGCCTCACATTCCTGGGGTAAATTATACTAGGTTGTGGTGTATCATTTCTTCTATATATTGATAGATTCAATTTCCTAGTATTTTGTTAAGGACTTTTGTGCTTATGTTCATGAAAGACATTGGTCTGTAGCTCTTAAAAATTTCTAACTTGTACTCTCTTTGGTTGTGATATCAGGGTAACACTAGCTTCATAAAATTAATTGGTATGCATTTCCTTCTTTCCTATTTTCTGGAAGAAATTGTATAGAATGATGTTATTTCTTCTTTAAATGCTTGGTATTAGACTTCATCAGTTTAATTACCTGGACCTGGAGATCGCTTTTTTGAAAGATCTTAAACTATGAATTCAATTTAAAAAAATGCTTATTAAACTATTCATATTATCTATTTCATCTTGTATGAATTTTGTTAGTTTCCAGTTTTTTGTTTTTGAAAATTTCATTTAATCTAAATTGTCAAATTTATTGACATAGATTTGTTCATAGTATTCCTTTATTGTACTGTTGATGTTTGAGGGTCTGTAATGATATGTTCTCTTGTGTTCCTGGTATTAATAACTTGTGTCTTCTATTTTTATTTGTCATTCTTGCTAGAGTTTTATCAGTTTTATTATTTTGAAGAATCAGCTTTACATTTCATTGATTTTCCTATAATTTTTTTGTTTTCAGTTTTATTTATTTCTAGTCCTTATTATATATTTCCTTCTGTTTACTTTGGCTTGTCTTACTCTTTTAGTTTCTAATAATGAGAAGTTAGATCATTGATTTGAGCCCTTTCTTCTTTAAAACCAGAGTTTTATGATATGAATTTCTCTTTCACCACTGTAGCTGGACTCCATAAGTTTTATGTCGTAGTTTTGTTCTCAGTCAGTTAAAGATATTTTCTAATTTTCCTTGAGAACTTCTTTATGACATCAGTTATTTAGATATATTTTAGTTTTTGGATATTTTCCTGTTATTATTCTGAAATTGATTTCTAGTTTAATTTCATTATTATCAGAGAATACACTTTGTATGATTTCAGTTCTTGTAAGGTTGATAAGGTTTGTTTCATGACCCAGGAAATGGTTGTTGATTTTTTTGTTCTATGTGCACTTGAAAAGGATAAGGCATTTAGCTTTTGATGGTGCTTTATGAATTACATCTAATTGCTTGATGGTCAGTTCATCTACATCCTTGCTGATTTCCAGTCTGTTTGTTCCCTTGAACAAAGAGAGGAGTGTTGAGTTCCCCAACTGTAATTGTGGATTTGTTTCTCCTTT